TTATATTTTTTCTAGGAGGTATTAAAGATATAGAAATATATATTTAATTCAATTACAAAGGTTGAAAGCAAGTGCTAAAATGACCACAATTTGATAATAATATTTATGAACAATATATTTGCTGCAGAAGTAGTTGCTTCTAGAAATATTGTTTTTTAATTTTAACAAAAGAATATTAAAATCATTTAACAAAGCCTATAATGTTATTATAGATTAATCAGAAAAATCAATTGAGAGGTCTGAGTTTTCAGAGGCTATTTTGAACATTTAAAAATATTTTACTGATATGTCAATATTTAAATTCTATGACTTTAGGCCCCTCAGTCTCTACCTGATTGGGCCATACAAGGTTTTCAATACATATTTTTAGAATGAACGAATGCATGTGAGAATCTATGGAAATATGTGTACTTTCCAAAGTTCTTTAAAATATATACACATTCATGTTGTTACTCATAGGAGACAAAATAAATTGTGTCACTACGTTTTCTAGAAATCAACACTAGAAACATATTTAATTAATAAATTTAAAATTTTTTATTTTATTTCTTTACATATTGTGTGTCTGTTTATGCAGGTGTGTGCGTGTCATGACATGTGTTTGGAGGTCTGTGTTCCCCAGGGGTTCTGGTTCCTCCAAAGGGTGGAGCCTGCTTCAGAGAATTGACTGTGGAGAGTTAGCTGTGGAAGGAGGGGCTTGTGGTACCATCTTGGGAAGGAAGCTGTGAGCTGCCAGGAACGTATGGCAGTGGGCGTGGGGAATACGCAGCAGTTGGGCATACTCAAGGACAGACTGGCCTGGCACTTATGGACCTGGGGTGAGACTGCTGGCCCCTGAGGTGTGGGCAAAAGCTAATGGTGACTATGGGTGTGCCATAGGAGCGATCTGATATGTTGGGCTCTGAGCTGCAAGCTGCGCAGCGTGGAGCTGAGCAGGGCGGAGCTAGGCACTGGGTGCTCATTTCTTTGTAAGTCACTCCCCTCCCCTCCATGATAATAATAAATGCATACAAAGATATGTTAAATGGTTTGCCTGATAACGCAAGAGACCCAGAGAGAACTCTGGTAACAAGGTCATAGGACAACTCTTGGGAGTTGGTTCTCTCCTCTCATCTTGTAAGATCTAGGGATTTAACTCAGGTCACCAGGCCTTTGTGCAAGAGCATCTGTCCACTGAGCCACCATCTTGCAGGCCCTTACTTGACAAGGTTGAATGAGCAATAAAGTGACAAAGTACATTTAACAAAAGAAGTGTAAGACTTGTATACAAAAAACTGTAAAACATGGTTGAATGTAATGACAGAAAGCCTAAATGAATGCAAAAGCACCCCATTTCATGGGTCAGAACTCTTGATATTATTAATAGGGTAAGATCCCTCAAATTGGTCTACTAATGCAATTCCTTTTGAAATCGTTGTTGGTTATTATACAAAGATTGTGGGGTTAGGGAGATGGCTCACTTGGTAAAATGCTCATGTGAGTTTGAAACCCCAGAACCCACGTAAGGTCCAGGATGTCTGTAATTTCAGTGTTCTATGGTGAGATGGGGGGTAGAGACAGGAGAATTTGCAGAAAGTCCAAGCTCAGCAGTCTGATATACACGGGTGTGAACAGCAAAGAGACCCAGTTCTCAAGCAAGGTAGAGGCTGAGGGCCAATATCTGAAGTTGCCCTCTGATATGCATGCTGTGGCACACACACACACCTGCACTCACACACATAAAAACACACACAGACACACATCATATATAGCCATACAAAAGAAACACAGAGATTGACAAACTCATAATATTGACAAATTCATATGGACATTCAAAAGACCCAGAATAGCAAAAACAATCTTGAAAAAGAACAAAACCGGAAGGCTTAACAGTGTCCAGCTTCAATATATATTATAGTTAACTTGATGTGCCATATTCACCAGACAGCTCTGAGTGTGCCTTTAAGTGAAGCTTCAGATGCATATCAATTCCAGTTATACTTTTGCTAACTTTCAAGTTGAAATATTTCCTAATTTCCCTTGTAATTAATCTTTGATCTATATATTGTTTATAAGTTTGCTGTTTAGTCCACTCTGTCCCCTGCCAGTCTGTCTCACAGGTGGGCTCCAATCCCTTAACCTCAAATCCCAGGACTAACTTCCAAAACCAGATTAAACAACCACTCTACCATAGACCTCTAAATCCTCACCCAGGCGGTCCCCTCACTGCCAAATTCCCAGTCTCTGGATCAGACAGACCTCCTCAACCAGGATTCTGGTAAGTCACATCAAGCTCACTGCCTCCCTACCCCATTTCTCTCATCTGCCCCAACCCATCCCCTGATGGCTTCTCTCATGGGTGGGCTCCAATTCCTTCACCTCAATTCCCAGGACTAGCTTCCCAAACCAGATTAACCAATCACCCTACCGTAGATATCTAAATCTTCACCTAGGTGGTCCCCTCACCACCAAATTCCCAGCCTCCAGATCAGACAGACAGACCTGCTCAGACAGGACTCTGGCCTCTCTCACAGGCAGGCTCCAATTCCCTCACCTCTAGTCTCAGGAATAGCTTTCCAAATCAGATTAACTAACCACCCTAAGTCCTCCTCTAGGTGGCCCTCTCACATACCCAAACAAAAAGTAACTAAGCTACATAAACAATATTAACAGAACCAAAATTAAATTAAACAAAAGCAGAGTAGAAGTTCCTGTTGAGCACATAACCAACAAAGAACATCCATATGCCCAGATGGCAATGCAAAAACACAGATGAATGAAAAACCAGGGAAATATGTCCCCAACAAAACCCATGAGTCCTACAGAAGTGCACAGCATTGAGAACCACTGTCGAATGCCCCCCCCAAGCCCACCAGGCTTGGGTCTTCAACAAAAGAAGAGTCAAGACATAGGTCTTGATTTTATTATAAAAAGTTTCTTAGCAGTCAGGTGAGCAATCACAGAATCACTATTTTTTGTGAGGAACACAGATCTTATATAGGACTCAGATTTGGGGTAACCAAGGAATCACCAAGGAATCACCATGGATATATTACTAACAGAAAGTAACTATGGATGCATTACGGTTGCTGCATTACCTCACCAACTCTGGTGCCTGAAGACCGAACCGAAACTAACTTTCTAGAAGACCTGATTTATCATGGAGGCACAGCCTGTCAGCTCAAACCGCTGAAGCAGAGAGCTCAGAAGCTCTTAAAGTGGCACTCTACTTTTTTTCCAATGCTTATGACAAGCATGGCTCCTGACATTTCCCCCTTTCTTTTTATATTTTTTAAAGATGAAGTACATGCCAAGACTGGGATGGAAAGACTGTGCCTGTCTTAGGTTGTCCTCTACCAGAGTGAAAGCCATTGGAGGTGGCCGGCAACCCACTTTACTCTGAGAAGATCTAACCTGTCACTGGCTAACTGGCCTCTGTAAAGCTCCTGTCAGTTGGCCACAGCCTTGGGGAAGAAATGGGAAATATTGCTTTTGCAAAGTACGTTTGCAAAGGTGTGCCACTGAAAATAGGAAATTTAAATTTTTAGGTCTTATTTAGGTCTATGGTCCATTAGGTCACTGTCTATATACATCCATCCATGTAGGTACATCCATCCATGTAGGCTGCACAGACCTAATTCCCCCCACTAAATGCAAAACAAAAAGTGGAGTTGGGAAAGAGAGGGAACCTAACAATCCACTGATTACATAGGGAGTACACAAGGGAAGGTGACATACACACAACACAATATGATCAACAATGGTGCAAAAGATCATGTGGAACAGTCAATCAATCAAGTAGGGTAGTGATGCATCAGAGCTAAAGGCCAGAGAAGTAGAACGGTGGGTGCCAGGCAGTGAAAAAAGTCCAGGCAAAGAAGAAGAGCAGGATGTTGACATCGGTTGGTGCAACACAATGACACAGGCGGTGTAGAATCCGGAGATTCCACAAACTGAACGAGACGTTTAGGCAGCCAACGAGCACTGTCAGCATCCTGTGGAAAAACAGAAACATGCCCTCTCCTCCAAATGAAGAGTGGATCTGGTCCATGCCAGAGTCCTGTGCAAGGATCTTTCCATTTCACTTTGGCATAATCTGTGGAAGAAGAGGGATGCCACAATCTATCAGCCGCAGAGCGACCTTGTGCATCCAGAGTTAAGAAATTTAAAACAAAGAGAGCATGATTTAATAAATTTTGTGGTGAATGGGTATACAATTGACCATGTTTAATCTTTTTCAATTGTAACTTAAGAGTGTCATGAGCATGTTCAATAATGCCTTGACCTTGTGGATTATAAGGAATTCCCGTTTTATGCTGAATAGCAAATTGTACACAAAAGTCATGAAATGAGTGAGAAGTATACCCAGAACCATTATCAGTTTTTAAAATCTTAGGAGTTCCAAGTGCTGAAAAGCAATGAATGCAGTGAGTGATGACGTGTTTAGTACTTTCACCAGTAAGAGCAGAAGCAAAGAGAAAACCAGAAAATGTATCTATGGTAACATGAACATATTTTGACTGTCAAAATTCAGGAATGTGAGTAACATCCATCTGCCATAATTGATTAGGGACAAGTCCACAAGGGTTAATCCCCACATGTGGTACCTGAGGCATAGTGGGACATTGAGGACAGCAGCAAATGATATCCTGAGCAGCTTCTCTAGAGATACCAAATCGCAGGCGCAAACCACTACCATTTTGATGATGTTTAGCATGAGCTTGTTGAACAAGCTCCACATCAGAGAAAGCTACAATCTTTGTATGAAGATCAGCCAAATTATTTCCTTGAGCAAGGGGTCCAGGTAGGCTAAAATGTGGTCTTATATGAGCCACAAAGAATTTCTTTGTCCTGGCAATAATGGAAGCCTGTATTTGAGAAAACACTTCATGGACTATACTATTAGAAGTTTTTATACCAGGAACAGTTTCTAACACACATAAAGCAGAAAATACATAAAAACTATCAGTATAAAGATTAAATTCTTGATTGGGAAATCCTTGAAAAACTAAAGCAACAGCCTGAAGTTCGGCAACTTGTGCTGAAGACTGGGAAGTATGAACAACTATGGTTTTCCCATTAGGAGGCACTTCCATTGGAAGAGCCATCTGTGAAAATCAACAAAGCATTTGGCAAAGGAACAGAGTTTGTAACCTTAGGGTATATAATATCAGTAGTTTGAAGAAATTGTAGAAGCTTATGCTTAGGATAATGAGAATCAATAGAACCTGAATAATTAGCAAGGGCAATGCCCCATGCATCAGAAGTTTGAAACAACCAATCAACTTGAGATTTACTAAAAGGAACTATTATTGTAGCAGGTTCTTTCCCC